TATATACAACTGGAAAAACTGGAAATGCATCCTTTCACTTAGATAAACAAATTGAAGAGTGAAAGGCATAATAATAATAATACTTCCTCAGAACATCGCTGACTACAAAACTCAAGTTCCAGCTCAAACATAGCCCAAACTCTGCTCATGACTGCATCAGGTCTCAGTACTTCTGTTGGCCCAGGTGAATTTCTGGAAACTGAATGTTATCAAGTTTCAGTCTCCTTAAAGCAGTGCATTAACATTGTCATATTTTAAATGTCATTGCGTTGTTAATAACAGGTGAAAAAAAACAATAAAGTTTCATGTGACCCAAAGATGTTCAACAGGGTAACAGTAACAAAATCATCATTTTACATCTTATAAACAGGAGCATTGGAGGAGCTCTTTGAAGACACAGACTGAAGACAAAATGAACTCTGTTTACATATTTTGTCCACATATAACATAGGCACAGCAAATAAGAAAAATTAAGAGGAGTAAAATAAATAAATAAATAAATAAAATAAAAAACACCCACATAACAAGCAAACTTGTTACAAAGACCTGTTTGAACAACAGAGTATGATGACAAAGCATGTTAAACCATTACAGAAATGATGCATTATTATGAGAGGTTTTTTCACGGTAACAGATAAAAGAAATTTTCAAATTTTGTCAAATTGTTCAAGTTTTTTCTTTTCAAACAGTATCTAATTCGCTCCAAATGTAACACAGAGGCAATTTCTCTAAGCCACAGTTTACATGAAGGGGATTGCTTTTTTTTTCAAAACAGTAGCAGTAGCTTCTTGCCAGCCGTATGAGAGCAATTTATGTTGTGTATTTGACAACAAATGCGTTTGTTCAGAGAATCCCAGAATTACAAGCATTGGATCTAGTTGTAAATGCAACTTCAACACTTCGGAAAGCACTTCAAAAATTCTTTTGCAGTAATTCTGTATCTTAGAACAAAAAATCAAACTGTGAGATTGATCCACATCTGATGAATTACATTTGTCACAAAGGCGTGAAATATTCTGGAAGATTCTATGTAGTTCTTTCTTTGAATAATGTAACTTATGAAGTATTTTTAATTGAATCAGACAATGTCTAGAATTAATGGATTGTTTATTAATATCCTCCAAACCTGACTGCCACATTTCCTCTGAATAGAAGGAGCTCTTCAATGAAAACAGTTTTGTGAGAATATCTTTAACTTGGTCTTTGGCATCATCATATTTTTTACACAGAACCGTGCAAACAACCCTGTGCCGGTCCTTAAAGTGCCCACTGGGCATAATGGCCTGCAGCTGGCATCCAGTGCAGCAGCATTGAGTGATGGCTTCCTGGCAAAAAGCTGTCCCCTAAGTGCTGCCCCCCACACTGGCAGCCCTCACCCTCAGAGTGATCCTGCTGGACTATCATCAGTTCTCAATAACATAAACAGTGCCTCCTAAATCTGCTTCTAACACTGGACACAGCATCATTTGAGGGTGCAAAGCTGATGGAAGTTCAGCAGTGACGTTTCAGCATTCTGCCTGTTGACTCGATGTTAATTGAATAAAGTTCTGCTGTGGGCTGCAGTGAAAGAGAAAATAAATAAATCTCTAAGAGAGATCCCAACTGGGGTAAAAGTAACAGGGAGGTGAATAATTCTGACTTCAGCTGTATGTGCACAGGATCCTGATCAAAAGCCTCTCTGAAGCAGACTAACTCTGGAACATCACCTGCTCTGGAGCAGCTCATCTTCAGAGAGTAAGTTGCTTTGGGTTCTTGTATACTCCTCAGGTCACCTCCGTCTTTGGAAGTGAAAGCTGAGGTTATCCACTCACTCACTCACTCTTAAACTTACCTGGTATGTCACATATCCTGCTTTCTGGAATACCGCAGGTGTGTTTAATGAGGGTTGGAACTGAACTGGGTTTGACAGCTGTGTATCAGACACTTCTGAACAGTACATGTCAAACAAATCAAAAGTGAAATGCAGTTGATGATGTTCTGAGGAATTATTTGACTTCAGTTCCCTCGAAGTGTAGGAGGAAATTTCTTGTTTTTCTTGTAATAGAAACTCCTCATCAAAATCAGCACAAAAGACACCCTGACACAGCTTTGAAGAGAAAATCCACTGTCTGAAACTGACAATGACAATCTTCAAGAGATCTATTCTATAATCACTGACAAGATCAACAAATCAAAGCTGTAAAATATGATTCAATGCTAATCCAACTAGAGCTGTTTAGTTTCTGCTCATGTATAAACTTTAAACAGTTTAATGCACACAGACGTCTGGTAGATCAACTGTGTGAGTGTGAACAGCAGCATGTCACTGGGGCGGTGTGATGATATATCGGTCCTTGTTTACCACAGAAAGGAGCATTGCAGGAACTTGATGTCGATATGTTTAATTTGTGCACGTCTTGTTTTAGAGTGTTGTTAAAGTTATCTTCAGTGTATATACAGCACATGGCCCACAGTAATGGACAGCAGCACATTAACTCTTTATTCTCTTTTATAATACCGGCCACATTCCCAGTACTGGGTTGCTGAAGGAAAATGAATGAGTGGATGATCAATACAGACACATGTTTAAATGTAGAGTTGGAAATAAAGGATTGAACACATCGTGTAGATCAGTGTGTAGATGCAGATGTCAGCTCACACTGCTTTATCTCGTGGAAGAGTTTATTTAGGAGTTATTTGTTTCTGGGGTTTAGCCACATCTAGCTCATCTCTGTACATGTATGAACACGGGATGCTGTGTGTGTGTGTGAGCTGGGTGTGTGTGATGTGCAAGTGACAGATTTCCAGGGAAAATGAATGTCATACCTCTTGTCTCATATAAAAGTTAAAGGTGTTTATGAGTGGATGCTTTAAATCTCTCTGCACACACTAAACTCTTACTCATGACAGTATTTTACACTGAATATTAGATGTGTTTTGACTCGTTTGTGTTTTTATCTGTCTAAGAACATCCAAAATCCTCAAATGTCCTCAGCCCAGAGTGTATTTGCTCCCTCTCTAAATTAAACTACCCAAACTCAACAGAAGAGTTCAAGTTAACCAGACAATTAAGAGATTAATGAAGTGAACATCTGTTGTTAATAAGAAGAATTATGAATGCGAATCACGAATGCGTCAGACCGGAGGTGCAAGCTTGTGCGACAAGTTTCGCAGTTCACTGCATTAGATAGTTCAAGCTTGGTGACCTCTGACCTGTGAAGTCACATCACTTGAGTGCGTGAGACCGATCGATGATCAAAACATGACCTCTCTGCACAGACATTTATTGATTAATGTCTGATAATCTTGTGTAATCCCGTCCCTTTTCACAGAGCCATACGACAGAATTTCGCACACACACAAACTCTAGTGTGACCGCAGCATAATACAAAACTACACAACCTAGATGAAATCAGGTAAATCTGATTTCAGGTAAATCTCAGCAGAGGATCATTAAACAACTCCTCAAACCGCAGCTTTTCTAATCACTCACCTGTTTGACCTGTTCCTGTCCGGCTCTACAGAAGTCCTCAGTGAGATTTATTGAGAGTTGATTGTTTTAGCCATTTCAGTTTGACAGAAAACTCTGTTTAACACATCTTCATTGTGGAGAACAGTGTCTGCTTTACTTGCCCTCTTTGACTGATTAGCTTTGGTTGCTATAATATTGTCGAATGTTCAGTATTAAGAGAACAGATGTGATTAAATCAACTGAGCCTGTTCAATTGCTGGAGTTCAGTTCCTGACTCGAGTTCCTTTGGCAATCCTTCCTCTCTCTGTTCATCATTCATTTCTGTCTGCTGTCTTGTATAACCAAGGTTAAAAACCATACACCATCATTCTGAAAAGAGATATGCTTTTTTTATTAGTCTTTTGTTCTAATGACTTTCTGTGTATTAGTTATAATTTAGCTTTCCAATCTCCCTTAAAACTGCAGTTGTTAAACCCCTCTTGAAGAAGAGCAGCCTGGATAACACCCTATTGAGCAATTACAGGCCAATTTCAAATCTCCCTTTCACTGGCAAAATCATTGAAAAAGTTGTTTTTAACCAGGTTAACAAGTTCTTAAACTTCAGGTGGTGTTTAGACAATCTTGAATCTGGTTTCAGAGCACATCACAGTACAGAGAGCGCTCTTATAAAGATAATCAATGATATACGCCTAAATACAGATTCAGGTAAAATAACCTGAGTGCTGGTGCTGCTGGATCTCTGTGCTGCATTTGACACTGTCCATCACAGCATACTTCTGGATAGGCTGGAAAACTGGGTTGGGCTGTCTGGCACAGTCCTCAAATGGTTCAGATCTTACCTTGAAGGTAGAGGTTACCATGTCAGTTTAGGTGATCATAGGTCGAGGTGGACACCCATGACATGCGGAGTACCTCAAGGCTAGATTCTGGCACCTCTCCTGTTCAACCTTTACTTGCTCCCTCTGAGCCAAATAATGAGAAAGAACCAAATCTCCTACCACAGCTCTGCTGATGACACTCAGATCTACCTAGCCTTACTGCCTAATGACTACAGCCCCATTGACACCCTCTGCCAATGCATTGATGAAGTGAACAGCTGGATGTGCCAAAACTGTCTTCAGTTAAACAAAGAGAAAACTGAAGTCATTGCGTTTGGGAACAGAGATGAGCTTCTCAAGGTGAATGTGTACCTTGGCACTAAAGGTCAAATGACAAAAAATAAGGTCAAGAATATTGGTGTGACTCTGGAGACAGAAGGGCACAACTAGCAGAGCCTGCTCCTCAATCTAACAATCTCAAGGTCTGTGCAATATATATATGTATATATATATATATATATATATATATATATATATATATATATATATACACACACACACACATAAACACACCTCGGGGCCAACATTTTATGCTTCAACATCAGATAAACACTCGATGGCAGACTGGATTGTGAATGAATGTTGGTAAATCAGGATTCAGACACCAACACTGAACACTGGACACTCAAAACAGTGCACAATATAGTGAAGTCAGGAGTGGAATCAATGTAGTTGTTTAATGCACAGTTGCTTTTATTTTGATTTGTAACACAATGACACGACAAAATCACTCATTTTAGAGGGAAATTACAGTATGGCAATACATGATATATATAAAATCTCTATAAATTTTCCTTTTTCACCATTCCATGATCAAACTAAACACTCTTCTTAAGCCTGGGTGATGAAATCCTGCAGTGCTACCCTAAATTAACTGTAATTTGATATGCGGCTAGAATAACTTTAACAAAATAATCAATAATAATACACTGTAAGTCTTGCTGCTGTTTCAACTTTTTTCTGTTTCCTGTTCAGGTCTCTGGGATACCTGCATTCAGAGGGTCCGCTGATTATTAGACTAAAGAACAACACATCTTTTACGAAGGGAGCCAGCTTCAGGATCTGTTGAAGTCCAACAGTGATATATGACTAGCTCAGAGTAGAGTATAACCTGTCTGAAACACGGCCCAACTGGGTTCCTCATTCAGTAATAAACATTCACAACAGAGAGAAAGGAAGGAAAACAACACTATAGAAACCCCTTGTTTTGCCTATACTACTTTGCTATTTAATTTTTGCTCTGCTTGATGTCAAACACTACCAATCACGGTATTGATTTATGATGAGAAACTTTAATAATTGACATAACTGATGCTTTAAATAGACACTGCCTGTTTGTAATGTATTTTAGATATGCAGAATGGTGGCGGCAGCGCTTTCTTCTCGACTCTTCAAGTGTGTTTAATATTAACTGTTAATAAAGTCATGCTTGACTGATGTAGTCTCTCCAGAATCAACATCAGTGGCAGTTGCCTTCATTTCAGTGGAGCCAAATTTTATTTCCAATTTAATTTCACGACTCAAGCCTCCATCAGTTTTGGGCATTCCCACTTCAAAAAAGCCAACCGGCTCAACCCCCGGCTCATCGATAAACTGCACCTGTTTTTCATTTGTGCTGAAGAACTGAAAGATGGCAGATGTTTGATTGGTGTGTGATGGATTAAAAAAGAACTGTCGAACTTCATCACAGTTGACCGACTCTCCCTTTCTAACGAATGTTTCGAAACAGACATCACAGTACGTCTGTCCCTCACTGTTCACATAGTTACTCTTGTCTTTGTGTAAGACCTTATCGAAGGGCGCATCTATTCTGATCCCGTATGTTAGAGCACTCATACGGGATTTGACCACTTTGGGCTGTTTGGCGTATCTGATCGCTCCTTTGATTATTACTACCTGGGGTTCAACAGGGCAGACTATCTTGCATTTATCAAAGCGCTCCTTCAGAAACTTCTTCAGAATTTTACATTCAGCAAAGCCTCCGACTAACAGCATGTACTCAATGTTCAGCTCAGGGTTGCTCGTGATCTTCTCTAGTTTCTCTGCTGTTGTCTTGAGACTTTCATCAAAAAAGCTCTGCAGTTTATCCTCTTTGATTATGATCGACCCCTCGTCCCATTCCGCTCCCTCAACACCCTCAAAGTAACTCTCGATTGCCTTTTCTTTCTTGGCCAGTTCCTGCAAGGTCACTGGGCACTGGATCAGCACAAGTTGATCACAAGATTTAGCTAGAGCAATGTCATATTTTAATTTCAGCGCCTCTGCTGGGAAATCTTGTTCAAACTTGTTGTAAATTTTCTCTGAAAATATTTCTTTCAGAAAAGAGATGAACTTCCTGTCTACGGTCTGTCCACCCATGTCATTTCCGGAAGCGGCGTTCAGTTCTTTCAGTTTGCCGTCCTCGACCACCTCGTGTACCGTTATATCAATAGTGCCACCTGCAAAATAAGAATGACGTTTAAATCTTGTACATCATCATCAGAAGTGGAAAAGAATAACATTAATAACAATACTAGATCTCAAAACCACACAAAGACAAATAGTTTGATTTAATTATAATGAGTTACCTTTAACAGTTCGTGTAGATCACTTATTTTTATAAAAACTAATGACTCTAATTTATATGGGATGCTAAAAACAATATGTGATGAATAAATAATGTGCCAGAACTACTTTCAGTTATCAAACTTAAGCTACTTAGCAGTGGTTATAAGCTCAACATCTTAATCCTCTCATTTATTTATAATTCATCACCTAAACTGTGTCAGTAAAACCTATTACCAAATAGTAAATCGGCTTGTCACTTATACTAAAGTGAAAATTAAGATACTTTAGCCCTAGCTCTTGCAGATCACTGGAAACCGCCCACTATCACTGAACTATAACTCTGCTACTGAACTGCACTACAATTCCCATCAGGCACCTCACTCACACACCAGTTCCAGATCACCCCTGATTACTTGCACACATCTGTAGAAAGACTGACTAGATGGACTACATATGCACCTCACATTCTCACACACATTGCTGAGTCTTGTTTGCTGTAACATTTCAGGTTGTTCTATAATCTAGTCTTGCCGTGTTTCCTGAATCTTGTTTTGTTTCAGGTTTGTGTTGTTTTGCTGCTTACGTTGAACTCTTTGCCTGTGACCACGACTACATTTTTGGATTACCCTCATGATACTGTTTGTATCATGAATTAGAGCAACCGGAGCCGGGAACACTTTGCCAAAAGACATTATAATTTGAAAGGCATCTAAGCTTATGTTAGTCTTTTTCTCCTTATCACAAGGTCTCCATAATCCTGGACCCGGCCCGTATCCTGAGCAGTTGCTGTGGTGCATTCATTTTTAAAATCTTGTTGTGGTTCTTATTGCTAAATAAACTTGATGTCTGTACAAAATGAAACAGCAATGTAAGAGAAATGCTAGAGATGTACCTCCACAATCCACAACCATATACTGGGTTCCAGGTTTTTGTTCCAGTGTGTCTCGACAGGCCTCCTCTGATATGTAGCCTTCACTTGGCAGATGTTTGCAGTAAATAGATGCAGCCTCAGGCTCCAAGGCAAAGACGAGCCTCTCTGGCTCAGACTCTATCACTAGACCTGCCTGAAAATCATTTAAAAGAAAATTGATGATAAGCAAGATAATAATATTACAATAGAAACAGGCATTGTTATTATGTCAACAAGTATATAATAAACATTTTCACAAGATTTAGAAACTTTTGCCGGTAAGTCTCAGGAATTAGCTCATATGGGCGCAACACTGCATTTTTCAGCAGCGTTAAGGCTGACCAGACTTCTTAGGTTTTAAGCACGAGTTTGCATTGTAATAACATTTCGTGGCCACTAGAATGTAGCAGCGATTTGCTCAAGTTTTGTTTTTAAGGGTGGGGGTGTTAAGACCTTTAGTTAATGTGTTTGGATCTATGCTGCCCTCTGGTGTTCTCTCTGTGTGTTTGTGCTTTGTTTGAAGGCAGACGGTTCCTGGAGGAAATTCGATGATGGATTCGAATGGTTCTCATCTCAACCTACTCTAAATAAATCTGGAGCACTGAGTGAGCACACGATGACTTGTTTTACGCATTAGCTTTCGCCCTTGTGTTCCTCCAGCATATTTCTCTGTTTTGCCCACTATTGAGCACTATGCCAGAGAGAGATCTGTTTGGTATGTGTAGAAACATTTAAGAGTGGGGTTAATGTTGGGATTTTGTTTTGATTTTTCTCCTGTCATGTCTTGTTTTAATTTGTATGTTTATTCTTGCACACTCATTTCTACCCTAACGTTAAGAATCGTGGTTAATATAATACACACTTGTGATAAAATTTGAATAATTGTGAGAAGAGGATTAGGGGGATTTACACCACTTTTTTTGTACGTTTGTTATTGTTTTGGGGATATGGAGTTAGGTTAGTAATTTGTGTATTTTATTTATTACTTTTATGTTCTGTAGGTAAGATAGTTGGCAAATAAAGGTATTTTTGTTTGTTATGTTTGGCCTGGTCTTCCCCTGAAAATATATATCCTTAACTCAAGTAATAAACAAAGCTTGTTAAACTCAGATTCTCTCTGGTATTGGCTCTCTTTTCCTTGCTGTTGTGATCGACCCCTAGACGATCATAACAGAAATAATAGCTTATTATGATTTAAAATATATTCACTATATTAGAAGAATCCGAGCATGTATAACAAAATATGAAATTAATATTTAACAACATTTTGTCAACAAATAAATCTCTAAATATTCAGTCAAAGCAAGTCATCAGTTCCTCAAATCTGCAGAACCATCTCCCAACAGCTTCACTGGATAAACTGGGTTTGCTTTTGGGATTCTGATGACATTCTGAGGCTTATTGTGGTACATACTATTGTTTATGATGCTGTTTCAGTGTCACTCTGAAGACCACCGAATATCCTACTCCAAACATATTTTGCTAATGTTCGCTATTTCGATTGGTCTGCTTTAGGTAGGGGAGAGAAATGTGAAATCTTGTTTAACTCAAACATCATGTCACTACCAAAGAGCTGTGAAAGTTATATGGTGTATAAAGCCTTTCTTTACACACCGCCAGACTAAACTGCCTCCGTTTATTTGCTGATTATTCGTCTGTGTTTGGGTTCATCAACTCACCTCAATAGCTGCTTCTCTCATGAACTGTTTGGCCGCTGCGTTCCAGATGGCAGGAACGGTCAGGACCCATGTAACGTCTGAGGCAATGAACGTCTTGCCGGTTGGGTTTTCCTTGACCTTCTCCAGAGCGTGATCCTTCAGATATCGCAGACTCTCCGAAAAAACGGTCAGCGCCTTCATTTGGCCTCCGTTTTTTGCAGTGATCATCAGATCCCGGTGGATTTCCTTAGCGGAAAAACAATAAACAAAAGCTTTAATAATTGAGGTCTGTCTCTTAATCATGATCATAATAAAATCAAGTATGATAAGAAAGTAACTGCTCTTACCTTGTCGTAGAGCTCCATTTTAAAGTGCTCGAACAGAAAGCTTTTCCTCGCCTGACTCTTTACAGTTGACCGAGTGTACGTCATCATGGCATCATAGCCAAACTTCTGAAACGTCTCATGTTCATCAAACAAGATGCAGGTGGGGGTTTTGAAGGTGTTGTAGCCATAGTCTACACCCCAGTTAGGAATTAGGATTGATTCTTGAGGCTGCTTGGTTTTAAAGCTGATGGCGTATCCACTGTAGGATGTGCCAAAGTCTATAGCGATGTAAAGCACTGAGTTTGCCATTGCTCCTCAACCTGTCAGACTGTGTGTGCTAGTGCTGTCAGTCCTCCATGCCGTGCTGTATTTATAACGCTGACTTTACTTTCAGTTTGGTAAACCTGCCTTCTCACTGAAAGGGCGTCGACACTGTGAGGATATAAAGCAGACAGTCCAGACCAGAAGTGTTCACTTTAGCACTCAGACACATCTGTGGCACTATATGTGATAGTACAGGACTGAATAAAGAAATAAAAGAAATAACCTTTTGAACATGTTTAAAGCTGACCTGTGAGCACATTACTGAAAAAAACTGACTAAACCAGCCTAGGCTGGTTGACCAGGCTGGTTTTAGAAGGGTTTTGGCCATTTCCAGCCTGGTCTTAGCTGGTCAGGCTGGGAGATGACCAGCTAAATCCTTAGCTGACCTTGACAGTGCAACACCACTGAGCCACAGTGCTGCCCTGAAATTAATATATTTATGCAAAGATTTCTTAAATGACCTCCTCACATCACTTCAGTTGTGTGTTTAAATGTAGAATTGATCATTAATTTGTGATAGAACAATTGTATAATAGTAATGATGCTCTAATTTGTAATAAATATTTCATAAAAAGTAACCATTAAAATAATATATTTATCATTTCTATATATTTTTAAATAAACTGGGTGTGGCTTGTTGTGGGGTATCTTATGATATGGGCGGGGCTTAAATTCTCTCTCCAAGCTAAAGCCAGAAGTCGTCAGCCCTGATCTAAACTCTCCTCGTGTGTTGCTATATTTAGCATTTGTTGTTCAGAGTGTTCACTGTGTTTCATAGCTCAGTTTTAAAAGATGTCATTCAATGAGTGCAGTAATGGCGCATGAGCAAACTATTTGACTTGTTATGTGACTGATTAGCCAATCCAGCCTTCTGTCTGTGCAGTCGTGTGGTTTACAGAGTTAGACTGCTGCACAAACACTGACAGGAGGAGGAAGAGCAGAAAGAAAAAGCAAAGGTCTCTGAAGGAAATTCCCCAACTCAGTCTAGACCAATAAGCATTGAGAGGCTGCACCTAAAGGCGTGTCTGAGACACACGACTAAAACACTGGAAGTTTGTCCTTGCAGCAGCTTATCTTGAAGCTAGACAGATAACTCCTGCAAAAGGGTAAGACATGTACACTCTTTCAGTTCATTTCCACATGTGCTGCTGCTCTTTAAATGGAGACTCCATACTCCAGTGTTTGCAGTCAACCTCAGCACATTAACAGATCATTGTGTGTGTGTGTGTGTGTGTGTGTGTGTGTGTAATGTGAGTATATGCTGGGGCTTTTCTTCTCGGTGTGTTGAGAAACCCTTTCACACACAATCAGCCACAAAGTTCCTTCCTGAGCGGACTGTTGCACAATTACTGAGGTGTTTGAGTTGTGTGTGCCAGTAGGTTGGACAGCTCCAGTGTTTTCAGTGAGCATGGACAAACCGGTGTGCCTGATCGACACAGGCTCAGATGGGAAGCTGTGTGTGCAGCAGGCGGCGCTGCAGGTCTTGCAGCAGATCCAGCAGCCGGTGGTGGTGGTGGCCGTGGTGGGTCTCTACCGCACAGGGAAGTCTTTCCTGATGAACCGGCTGGCTGGGAAACGAACAGGTTAGAGACACACAAACAGCATCCACACGTCACGCTGATCTATGCGGCCCGTGAGCCATTGTGGGAGTTTCTGACGTGTGTTATCTCTTAGGATTTGCACTAAGCAGCAATATTAAACCCAAGACAGAAGGTATATGGATGTGGTGTATGCCCCATCCCACTAAAGCAGGAACCACTCTGGTGCTGCTGGACACTGAGGGACTGGAAGATGTGGAAAAGGTAAAGTAACGCCGGAACTACCTTGTCTAAGAACACTATTGGAACACTAATGAAGAACAAACAGATGAATTATAGTAATAGTGCAGTCGTATCCTGTTGCTCTGCTGAAAATAGCATTATGAATTAAACAAGCTCATGCACACCACACACGGCGCAGGTCAGAGCGCATGTCTTTAGGATCAACACTGCATGTTACAGCCTGCCCAGATAGCAAAACCCCTCTGGCCTGGACACATCCGCAGTTCTGGGCTAGATCTGGCAAACACACTTGGGCTGGTGTCTATTGAAACAATGGGCCAGTACTGGCCCAGAAATGTTTTTGATTTAGCCGGACCAGCACTGGGCTAAAACTGGTTCAGGTTTGGATCTGGGCCAGTCCATTTCACCTGTGGTTCTGGATATAGTCCAGTTCATTTGACATGTCTATATGTTTATCTATATTTTCCATTTATTTACAAACAGTATTGACCTCATTCTTCAAAGCGGAAGAATTTTTTGCGATTGTTTTAGAACTTCCAATCCAGACTCCTATGGGAGAAATGACTAGTAAACGGCAGAAAACAGCCAACCTACTCGCCCTATAAACAAGTGTGTTCATGACTATACAGAGGAAATAGAGTAATAAAACAAGAAAATATCAGTTTGCAACATCAAGCAGCAAACCGCGCTGTTTAAACATCTAAAATGAGTGGAAGTGAATGAGAGCGGAAGTCTCGAGACAAAAAGATTCAAATGGCTGCACGGAGAATACGGTGAATACAGTTCATCCAGCACATTTATCAGAAACATGATTTAAACTATTTAGTTTTGTGCCACACATTCTGTTACATTTGAACAAAGGTCATAAACATGCATGAAATACCACTTTAAGTACTAACATCAGTGCTAATAAAGCATCTTGTACTTACAGATGGAAAAATGCAGTGTAAATACAAAGAGAAGGGGGCATAAGAGGAGGTATTTACTCAAGTCTCCCAAAAAATGCATGCAATATATATATATATATATATATATAATTATTTCCAGCATGGTACTGGCCCAGATCAAGAGCACATCTGAACCAGACTGGCCAAGTCAACATAAGGGAATCTAGATCAGGCCTGGAGCTGGCCCTGTGCAGGTCTGGATAAGTAAAAATAGATTTTAAACTAACCGGGCCAGATGTTAAGGCAGATTGGTTTTGCCACTGTATTTTCACCTCAGTACATAAGTCTGGATCTGCATTGATGGTGTGAAACGGATGTGATGATTCAATAATGGATCCAGCCAGGAGTGTGATGCTGACGGGGTGTTGTTGTGGGAAATCTTTTACTGAAATCAACATTAAAGTAAATGAGTGAAGTAAAAATAAAGAAGCAATGATGCTATTTCCAGATTATTCTGTGTTCAAGAATGCGGTTCTCCTTCTCAGGGCGACTCAAAGCGTGACACCTACATCTTCAGTCTGGCTGTGCTTCTGAGCAGCACTTTGGTTTACAACAGCCGTGGGGTGATCGACAACAAGGCTATGGAGGAGCTTCAGTATCCTTCTCTACATTTGTCTACACAGGGAAACACAAATACAGGACAAATGTATTATTAAAGAGTATTATTCTCATATTGGCATATGCAAGTATAGTTTTTAGGAAACATTTTTGCTTTACTTTTATTTCTAATAAAAGGAACAGAGATGGAAAAGAAGACGAGAGGTGTTTACACAGTACAGTATCAGGTGTAAAGCATATTTACTGAGCTGTAGCTTCAGTTTCAGAGGACGTTTGTTGATGATCAATGTAAAGTTTAGTTAAGTGCAGCCCTGATGAATACTCGTCGATTGGTTGAACAGTCCCTCTGTGTTTACACCTGAGCAAGCTGTCAGATATGTGACTGAACTAATAGAGCACATCAAGGTCACGCCAGATGAAGATGCTGATGATTGCACTGCCTTTGCAAAGTTCTTCCCTCATTTCATCTGGTGTTTGAGGGACTTCACTCTTGAGCTGAAGTTGGATGGCAAAGATCTAACAGAGGATGAATATCTGGAGTTTGCGCTGAAGCTGAGGCCTGGTAATATATAAACACATTAATGCAGAATCTTTCACAATCACTATGAGCATGAGCTCTTTCATCAGCTCTTACAGGTTAATTGTGTTGTTAACAGATCTACAGTACTCCAACACCACATATTGGATGAGACTGTAGCTGCCTCATTTGGATATACTACTTAACTGTGTCTTCAGTGACTTATCTAAACAGAAAGTTGTTTGTTAGGGTTGGGTGAATGGGATGAGTTCTATATATTAACGAATGTATGCCCACTGTGACCCAGAACAGCAGCTGAACCAACTATATCCTATCAACTTCATTATTCTAGAGACCTGAAGAGATCTTCCACATGTGTTCATCTGTTCTAGGCACTTCGAAAAAAGTAATGATGTACAACCTTCCCAGGGAGTGCATCCGGAAATTCTTCCCCTGCAGGACGTGCTTCACCTTCCCATCACCAACCACCCCGGAGAAAAGGTCCATTCTGGAGAGTTTGAGTCCTGCCGAGCTCGACCCTGAGTTCCTGGAGGTCACCAAACGTTTCTGCAAGTTCGTCTTTGACAGGAGCGAAGTGAAGCAACTGAAAGGTGGACACACAGTCACAGGCAGAGGTGATTCTACAGGGAGTTTGAAGCGTTACACAGTGTTCTCAGTGATCTCTCCTTCAGTTCTGTTATTCACTGATTCTGTTTCCTCTTTGAAAGTTCTGGGTAATCTAACGAAGATGTACGTGGACACCATCTCCAGTGGGGCTGTGTTTTGTCTGGAGAACGCAGTGATCGCCATGGCCCAGATTGAGAACGAGGCCGCAACGCAGGAGGGTCTGGAGGTGTACCAGAGAGGAATGGAGAAGCTGAAGAGCTCCTTCCCCCTGGAGCTGGAGCAAGTGTCCTCAGAGCACCAACGCCTCAGCAGCATGGCTACACAAGCATTCATGGCTCGATCATTCAAGGACACCGATGGGAAGCACCTGAAGGCTCTTGAGGTAGGCTAGACCTCAAGCAAACAATATGCCCTGGCTCACCAACAACTAGTCTTGCATAGCCAGACTTCAGTCTGACAGCTTGAAGATCTGGGAACTTTGGCTTCTCCAATTTTGATTTTTACTAAAACACCCAGATATTTACCCAAGGGTCTGATCTTTCATTTCTGCCCATGTAGGGTTCACTTACTCTGGCATATTCCTTTAGATTATCTTCCATCCGCAATCCTGCCTTTAATATTTTAATATAACTCAATATATATGTAAACAGGACAACTTCAAATCTGCTGAGACTGCTACAGAACTGAGATGCTGTGTGTGTGTGTGTGTGTGTGTGTGTGTGTGTGTGTGTGTGTGTGTGTGTGTGTGTGTGTGTGTGTGTGTGTGTGTGTGTGTGTGTGTGTGTGTGTGTGTGTCTTTAGGGGGAGATGGGTAAGCTCTTTGATGCATACCGGAGTCAGAATAAGCAAGTGGGACTGGAGACACACTGTGATCTTCTCCTCTACATGCGCTGTAAAGACCCTCTCATTCTTCACGTCTACTTCTTCCCAGTGAATGATGCTCGCTCGAAAGAAAAAGTAGAGCAGAATGAAAGATCAAGTCTTCCGATCAGCCATCCCAGACCTGACAGGCCGTTTCAGGTGAAAACTCCGCATGTCCTCGAGGTTCCTGGAGCATCTGTGTATCCTGAAGAGGGCATCTCATTCAGAACAGACGTCGAGCCAAACTTCTTCAAGGTCAGGAAGCTGCAGGTCGATGATGTACAAATGAATCTCGTCCGACAGAAAGACAAGATGTCTGTGTGGACGACCACTATTTGGAAAGAAGAGTTCGTCCACTTACAGCAAGTCCGAGATGAGCGGAAACTGAACTCAGAGATTGAAAAGAATGATTTCTTTAATGCACACAGAGTGGCTTTCATTGAAAGAGTTACGAATGTGAAGAGCATTGCAGATAAACTTCACGGCCAGAGAATAATTCATAAAGAACTGTATTCTGAAATCACCCAGACTAATGTAACCCGTCAGCAGATCATGAGGAAGATTTGTGACTCTGTGGATTCCAGTGGGAGGATAGCGAAATGTAAATTCATTGATATCCTTCAGGAAGAGGAGCGCTGCCTGCTTGAAGACCTGAAACAGTCTGAATCCTAGCTTAGTCTTGTGCTTTAGAGCAGGAACTGCCTCCATTCTCAGCTAAACTATGCTAAAGCCTGTTTGATGCACGAGAGTCAGATGCATTGAGATGAACACTGAACTGAAATGTTAATTCGGTATTTTCTTTGCAATTAACTGGAGATTACTCATTTAGTGGTAATATTCATGCAAACTAAATGAATTAATGAAGTTAACTAGAATACTAAAATGGTCATCTTAAAGGGATCAGTTGACATATATTTAACAGTCTGTTATTAATTACTCCCCCTCATATTGTTTCACCTTTGGAACACACAGATTACGTTATTTCAGATGAAATCCAGGAGCTCTCTCATCCTCAATAATCAGCAAGGGTCGTGAGACCTTGCACGTCTCCTTATTAGAGAGGGGACAAGGGGAGTCATGACTAGGCCCACACGGAATCTGCGCATGCAGAATTCCACAGATTTTCCGCAGATTTCTAGCCCATCATTAATTCTGTTTATTTACTTGAGTAAATGTGTAAATCTGAGTTTATTCAGTTTTTATTCAGTAATTTATTACTTTTTATTTCATATATTAAGGACTTAGTTATGATACTCCGCTGGATACTCCCAAAATAGTTCCGCAGAAATCCGCAGATTTTTACCAAAATTCTCTGCAGAAATAGCAAAATACGTTTCGGATTCCGTCTGGCCCTGCTCATGACTGCTTGTGCTCCTTTACATTTCTTGTGTAACCCAATAAAACAAGCCGTCAGGTGCAATATTAAATGTAGACATTACTGTAAATTCCAGAGTGAGAAGGGCGTCTTCAGCATACTTCAAACTCTGACCAGATCTGAAGCCAGTTGTGAATCCAGGTGAGGTCTCAGGACCCTCCCAGAAATAAGTTTGGTGTTTGTGAAAAACATGTTTGCACAAATAAAGATGATGTTCCATGCACTGTCTATTGAAAACCAATGATAAAATGTGTGTAATGTTGCTAACACAAAGACTATAGTTTAAATAAATCTTTGTCTAATATTTACTCAGCACTGGGTAGCTAAATAGCCTAGTGTGGTTGTTTTTAACATTAGATTTATTAATGTAGGAAGTGCTAGAAAAAAAGTTGACATGAAACTGCTCACATCAAATCTGTGAACAACATGACATTTAAAAATGTAACATGCATGAGAAAGACATCAACATTACGTTGAAGAATCAAGCGAGGGATGCTTGGCAGCATCACAGATTTCAGCATCAGTGGCCGTGGTGCAAGGCTGCAAAAACTGATGAATACAATAAGAGCAGAATCAGACTCAACATATAATAATCTGAGCCTGTAATACCACCATACAGGTCTGAGTGGAGCTCGCATTAGTGCACAGATCATCGCTTGCCCCGTTGATTTCTCTAGAATAGGCAGGATACATTTGTTGATGTTGTATTGATAAGACAAACAGAGTTGAAAACTTTAAAGAGGCTATTTTTATTTGTATGCATTCAGAATGACAACAAAACAGTATGAGTTTTTGTCAAATGAGTAAAGCAGACAGGAAGTGCTTCTCTTCTATGCCTTCTGTCAACATGACTGGCGAACAAGTCAGAAAAAAAACAGCTGAATTAGTGAATATCTGCTTCTCAGACCTGAGAGGTGTACCTGCATAAAGCCTGAAATGTACACTTGTAAAAGGAAAGAAATGTTCTCTGGTTTAGCAATCCGAATGGACCAAACACAAAGCTGTATTGAGTGATGAGAGCTCATGATCTGCTGCTGAGTTCCACCTTCCATGCTCAATCATGACACTCATGAACAAACGCAGGGTCTCTTTGTACGTCATCAGAAGACGTTTAATTTAATCTCATCATCAGGAGAATGTTGGCTATATATGACCTCAGGAGACTGCCGTCATTAGATGCTGCTTTATTCAGAGGATGACACAGGTAAGTTATATTCATTTATTTTCTTTTGCACCATAGATGAAGCAGTAAGCTAAGGCTGCTGATTAAGCAGAATGTGAGTAAAAGGTTGTTCAGTTTAATTCTGATGTAAAGTCAGAGTTTTTTGTGTGTATTTTGACGTATTATTTATTCATGTGCCTGTGCTGCTATACATTTCTTGTGTAACCCCCTAAAACAATTATGCTTTAAATTGTGTTTGTAACAGCCTCTGTCATGGTTTCCTTTGAGGTGATTTTAACATTTTGAGACTGAACGTCACATACACCTTTTAATAAGCCTGTGAATCATCTGATGTTGTTAAAATAATTTTTACTTGTAGTTTTAGTTTTGTTGAGCATTGACATCTGCCATTATACAACACCACATACATCTAATTTTCCCCTCTATGACGCAGATTGCACAGAAATAAAAAGGCCTATCTTCAATATTTCTGCAGAAGGACAGTTTAGGGTAAGTCCTTTATGAATTCTCCTTTTGATGAGTATTCTGTATTACGCTGTATTAAAATCATATGGTGAATTTTAAAGTATACATGATTGTACTGTTTTAGTATAGTTATGAACACACTTGTTTGTAGAGCGACTAGTTTGACTATTATCTCTCAGGCAGCTGAATCAGAAGTTCTAAAACAATCGCAAAATCGAGCACACTTCCGCATCGCAGAATAAAGTCATCAAAGAGGACATTAATCTTTACTCAAATAGTGATCCATCATTATAACATAAAATAACTGGCTAGAAACATACTCTTTACAAAAACTGAACCTGTGATAATTGATCAAAAGCATCTTTCAGGAAATTTTATTGCAGGTGTACTAACTGCTTTTTTATTTGGAGTCTCATTGATAAGGAGCAGGCAGAGTTTAGGACCTGAACTGCAGCCAGCCACCAGGGGGCGATCAAAGTACCAGGAAGGAGCTTTACTCAAAAGCAGGCTAGAGGTACACCAATCACTTTGTGTAAATCCCATGACTTACAGCTTATTTACTGTATGCCATGTGATTATAAGGAAAACGGGTGTGTTTCTGGTAAAAAAAAAAAAAAAAAATTCTGGTTCTCTGTATGTCTTTGAGTCATTCATGTTTGGTTAGTTGTGGCAAAAGCATATGACATTTTGAGACCTTCATACTCTCTCCACTGCCTTCTGTCTCGATCTTCACAGTCACTGTATACACGGTAAGGCACATTACAATATTTGCTCTTCTTTTCTGGTTCATCTGTAATTAAAAAAGCTAAGAAGTTGCATTAGTTAGTTTCAGGAATGCCTGTTTGTGATGAGGCTGTGTTCATGAAAGAAATGCAAAATACAACAGGGCACACAGGATACGACATGTGTCTACTACTCTTTTTAACTTGCAGAATGGGTTAATTGAGGGAACACTCCATTTTGTTTAGGACATGTGCTCATTTAAGCAGCTCATCCAGAACGCTGCGGCCAGGATTCAGACCCGAAGCAGAAGATCAGGCGTTACAGGCAGAGAGAGTAAAATTTCTCAGTGAATCACTTAACGGTGTTTAACTATAACATGACATCTGTTAAATCAGTCACGTTTTATAAAGCCAGATCCACCACTGATCTATTATGTAATGAAGATATCAGCAAAAGTTCATTATCTGAGGATTTGTGCTTACCAGAGGTGTGGAACATTAAACATTTTCATGAGTCTATTAATCAAAATAAATGTTAAATATGTGATCCTGGACCACACAACCAGACATGAGGGGCAATCATCTAAAACAGACCTGTAGGTCACCTGAAAGCTGAAGAATGAAGCTCCTCACTGATGTATGGAGAGGAGGTGAGGTGTTCAGATATATATTCTTATAATACCTTTAAATTCGTATAGATTAAGGTATTAGTAACTATTAGTATGACACTGATCTTTTATCATTAATGCGCTGGGCCGCTCTATGTTTAAAAAAGCTTTCATATGTTTCAGTCAAACGTAAACATGCAGTTCTAAACAAATAATGCAGTGTGCAAACTTGTCAGAAGCAAGTCAAGTGCTGCAGCAAGGTTTTATACAGTGATGAGTTCATGTCCAGCTGTTTAAGCTCACTGATGTAACGACCCTGGTCTAGGGCATCAAGGAAGTTACATACAACACGTGACAAACAAAATATCTTTTCAGGAAGCTCTTGGACTCTATTCATCTTTTTCTTTTCCTAAACACCCAAAAATAAAGTCAAGCCTTCAGAGAAGACCAACAGAAAATAATTAATAAACAGAGAGTAGCACACACCTAAACACTGAAATGAACACTAAATAAACCTGACAAAATACCATAAACAAAATGCAATACTTACTTTTGTACTACCTACCTAACTATAAAAAAGAAAAAAGTGTTTTTAAAAAAGTCTGGCATATATATATATATATATATATATATATATATATATATATATATATATATATATATATATATATATATATATATATATATACAACAAACAAAATAATAGAGGCCCTGGATCACTGCAGCTGATTTCAGGGGACATCTCAAGTGTAATTGGGGGGCCTTTTGAGAGGAAAAGTGCAGGAGAGAACACAAGGGAGAGATAAACACACATCTGCAAATACAACAGTGAACACTTCACACAGAAATTCTACTTGAGCCAGGGATGATCTTGCAGTGAGACAACACTGTGCTCAGCACCAGCCCTGACAAATAGTAACTGATGTAGCCTTGATCAGTCATTCATTTTCCTTTCAGCTTAGTCCCTTTATTAATCCAGGGTCACCACAGCAGAATGAATTTACGCAGCGGATGCCCTTCCAGCTGCAACCCATCTCTGGAAAACTAGCCTTGATTATGCAAGCTGAAACTGTTAGTCTCAGACTTGCAATGTCAAGAGGACTGGCCCTGAGAGCAGCGCTAGAGTGTAGACAATGTCTGTCGTATGCACCAGTGCAGAATGACGACATGTTGATCAAAAATGATATAACAGTCACATGAATTCTGGCTTAACTATTCAAGTGACTGCAAACTGTAATTCACCTGACAGAATCTTTGTTTTCATGGTTGTAATCATTTTAAAATCTGAGTATTGCTGTCCATGTAAACATAGTCATTTATAAATGTGACTTAAGCACACAAAACAGGGATGGACGTGTGCGTGCCACGTCCTACACAAAGTTGCCAAACTAGATGGGAGAATGTTTGCAGATTTAAATAAACTCTAAATGAACATATTTAACTTAAATATTGACTTGACTGAACCACTTTAAATCGTCAACTCTTTCCCAGTCATTAATAGGGTTGGGTATCGTTTGGGTTTTTTTCCAATACCGGTGCTAAATCGATACTTTTAAAATGGTTCCGGTGCCTGAACCATGCCACAAAATTATTTGACAAAAAATAATTTTAATGATTATAATTGAACAATATAAATATATATTTATAATAAGCCTAAAGTAGACATCAATTCATATTTTATATATTTGAATTGCTTTAATATATTTCTTTTGATCATTTGTTTGTCAGCATGAATGCAACATTTGCATAGTGCTAATAACATTACATTAG